AAGGAGGGATCTCTGTGACATAGTGAGCCCTCCTTCCCCGGTAATGGCCTGCCCTAAAGTCCCCGCCATATCTTCCCCTCCCTGTTAAGACAGTAATGCTCCATCCCACTCCTGTATCCATAGTCCCACCAACCACCCCTATAGCCCCCGCGTTCCCCGACAAGCCCTTCGAATCAGTCATCCTCTCACATAAACACAGTCACTCGTCCATGCATTCCCCACATAGGTCAGTTAAAAAACACAGAAAATACAACAGTAATGAAATTTTTAAAAGTGGGTACAATCATCAATCAAACATACCAGTCACACTACATTCCTAAAAGTTTTTTGGTTTTTTTGGTTTTTTTTGCATACTGTGCAAGAGAGGAGAAACTTAATGTTTTTGAACTTCTCCTCTGTGGAGTCCAGCAAAAGGGGCAAAGCCCAAGAGTTTAAAAGTTTAAAATAGTATACCTACAAATATAGCATTTTAGCCACAAACAAAGCAGATTAATAAAAATGAAAAGCCTGTATAAAATTACCCAAATTTCACAATGTAATAATGCAATATTTAGATTGTTCCCATTTTTGAAAAACTAAAAAAATTGAGGGACAGTACAATAGCTGTATATAGTTATCAAAATCAGTGGAACTTTCCAAAAGTTGAATAACTGCCTTTCCAGTCCTAAAAAAGCCATTGATTAAAGTCTAATCCAGAGGTGGGTTTCCGCCAGTTCGGCCCACATCAGATGAACCAGTAGTGGAGGCGGCGGGAGGCTCTGTCCACCCACCCGGATGCTTCTGCACATGCGCAAAGTTTCTGCAGAAGTGTCATGCAAGAGCTTGTGTGTGCGCACGAGCGAACCAGTAGTAAAATAATGGAAACCCACCACTGGTCTAATCAGATTTCAAGATGGATAAAACATGCAATATTTAGATGCCATAAAACTACTAGATCAACTCCTTTCCTAATTATCTTTGTATTTTTAACAGCATAATGGCAGAAAAAAATTGATTAGGACTTTTTTTCCCCATTGTAAACCTGGTCTGAAACTTGCTATAGTAAATCCTAAATAAAAACTAAAACCAAATGTTAGTTTTTATCATTTAATCCATTTTGACTTCAAGATTCTTGAAAAAGAGCCTTGGGAGCGGTAGTTAGAATCCAGTACTGCAGGCTAACTCACTGCTCTCTCCAGAAGTTCAATTCTGAATAGCTCAAGATTGACCCAGCCTTCCATTCTTCCAAGGTCAATAAAATGAGGATCCAGGTTATTGGGGGCAATATGCTGACTCTGTAAATCACTTAGGGTTATAAAGTACAAGTCTAAGTGCTATTGTTATTCTAATGCAAAATAGGATGCTGATCAGAGCATACATGCTGATGCAGCTGACTCTTACAAGATAGTGATATTTGAGCCTTTTTATTTCCCTATTTTAGCTTTAATAATGACTGATTTGCATAGAATCATATGAAATTTTCATTATTCTGAATTTAAATTGGAAAAAAAACATGCGGTTGAATGGTTCTTTTCATGCCAAAGAATTCCTGGCCATGGAAAGGGAGAAAGGGAGAAATATGATTCCTTTAGGGCAAAGTTTAACTTGTAGTAATCTTTACATATTACTGTAATATATGTATGCATTTTGCTTCACTGACTTGTTATTATTTTTGTTCTTTATTGTCTATTCTTGCCTTAAATATATTTACACATTGTTTGTAAAAAATAAATAAATACTGTATTCTGGATTGTTTGATTTTGTTCTCCTTTTTTAATGTTATTGACATTTAAATATGCATTCTGACATGGTTCAGTTCCAAGAAAGCTATGGAACATTGATCAAATCCTCCTCCTGCCTGAAATTATATAAGTGTTATTAAATCTTACTCATCTTAGTGGAGACAAACAAAAGAGGAACCTTTTTAGTAATTATCAGAATTTTAAGAGGAATCTATCTAAATTATTGAATTAAGAGAACGTGTCGTAAGTACTAAAACTTTCTCAATAGCAGCATCAAATAAAAAGCAATTCATACCTTTTGCTTTTTATGAAAAGTATTTTGACTTTCCCTTTTACTTTCATCTTCATATACTAAGACATAGTCAACTTTTCTTTGGCCATCATTGAAGTACAGAGAGTCAGGATTCAGATCAAACTCTACCTGGAATAAATATTAATACCTATATAAATATTAATATACCTAATATAATTTGAGAATAAAAATATATGTGGTTGATTAGCTGAGGAGAGCAAAAGTAGGTTAGCAGAGTCCTAGAAAGAGATGCCTGAAAAACATGTCACACTCCCAAATACTGTAATCCATACTGAATGTGTTAATATTTCAGCCAAATATATGTTGAATCGGTCTTCACGGGGGAATAAATAGAAGAAAACAAAATATCTGAAGTTTTCCATCTAGTATTTGGTTAGCTTACTCAAATTCATATATGATATGGATTTGCAAAGTTTTCCAAGTATGAAAAAAATATTCTCAATAACTATTTTGTGTATTGTGAACTGAGGAGAAACCATCTATGTTCTGAGACTTCTAGTCAAACATTACTTCTAAATTCTAGTTTCTTGCTAGATTCAGACAAAACATAATTATTTGTGTTGTAACAGTGTTGTATAACCAGTAAATTATTCCTTTCCTTTCTTATTGTCCAAGACTAGTTGAGAAGAGACTAGGATGATGATGGAGAGGCAGAAATTATTGCATCATTTGCTCAGAGCTAGTTCTTGCTGCTGGACCCTAGTTACTTGCCTAGATCAAATATGCTATTGCATTTGCATTCAATGTCCATTTGGGATGGCTGAATTCCAATACAAGAATGGGAAGAGGCAGCTTTCAATTGTAGTTTATTGCTATAAGGTTTGTTGTAATAAACCTTATAAATTGCATATTCTGGATTTAAAAAAGAAAAGTGTTGTGCACTGTGAGCATTTTTTCTGGTTTGATTTTTCAGTTTCAGTTTTTAAATGCAAATTGTATATATTACATTGGTTTTGCTGAATTTTGTTGAATTTGTGCTATGGCTCAGTGGTAAAGATACTGAGTTTGTCGGTTAGAAAGCCCAGGTTCAAAACCTGAGAGCCGGGTGAAATCCCATTCCTGATCCAGCTCCTGCCCATTAGCAGTTCAAAAGCATGCAAATTCAAGTAGAGTAATAGATACCATTTTGGTGGGAAGGTAATACATAATTCAGTGGGCATATGAGCAATACAAAAATATAATGCTAGTCCTAGAGTCACCTGTTTCTGGTTTCTGGCATGCCTTGAGAATTTTTTTGAATGAATATTTTTAAAAGTAATTTAAGTTGACTCCAGTTCTTCAAACAATAGTGATAGCCATGTATCTAAATATCTTTAACTCAATTTATATACCTGCCTATCTCAAATATATGAGACTGGGTGGCTAGTAGTGATTAAAAACCATATAAAATGAAAAAATAACAAAGTACAAATTCGAATCTGAAATATAAAATTACTACTATTTCATATTGCCCCAATGGTTACATTATTCAGAAATTTTAATGCTAAAGGCCACATTAAAAAAGTGCTTTAAACAATTTTAATTCTACAACCCAAATCTAAAATATCCTAGGAGAAATTCAAATTTATTTGCATATCTTTATATGAACTATATGACAAATTTTATAAGAATAATGAATTAGTACCTACCAATTCAGGCATATGAAGAGCTTGCTGGCCAGGGACTGTTCCATAATTGGGAACAACAATTTGTTTCAGGTCTTCTAAGACTAAAAGGAAGAAATCCCATAAGACAATGTTGGATTATAGCATTCAGTTACTGTAGGCTCTATTTGGGGGGGGGGAGTCAAATTTCATGGGTTGCCCATTTATATCTTTCATGGAGAATTAAGACTTTAATCATTTGGGAAGTTACACAATTGAATCTTAATTTTCCCAGCCCTGGATGCAACTTTAATATATGGAGGGAAATGAAATGGATCAAAAAGGCTGACTCAAACAGTCTCCAAGTTGTCAGGATACAATTTCATATTGCCCAACACCATATATCTTATTAAATATGTATAGAGGAGAAATAAAGTAGGAATTACTGTGAATATGAAAGAATGGAAAATGTTATTTAAATCCAGAGAGTACTGCATATATAACAGAGATGTAGTAAAAGGGATGAAATGTTAGTAAAGTGAAATAAAACATATAGCACACAATAATTCTTCAAGCTTCTCCATTTGTATATACCTATGCAAAGAGTTTCCCAAACCATTTCAAAGCCACTGTAATGGCTCCTCTCCTAACTTAAGAAAGTAAAGACTCTTGAAACTGATTATTTCAAAAGGAGCCTTTAATCAAGCAGGTTGGAAACCATTAGAGGAAAAGCAGCATCTGAAACCCTTTATGGTATACAAATGGGATTAAGCTGATAATGACCCCTCCCCTTTGTCCGAATGCAGATTCTGACCAATACACAAGTGCGAAGATGTTTCCTAACTCTTCTGCCCTGAGAGTCAAATAAAACACACGTTCCCATGGCTATCTCTAGTTAGACATTAAAGTAAGATATTCCACATGGCCATCATAAACATCCCTCCAGAGGTGCTGAGACCTCCAGTCTTCTCTGCGGGGCTCCATGAAGGTGATAAATGTGTATCAGGAATAACTTGGCTAGATCTTTGGCATTTGGGATCTTTTGTCATGGTATAAAATGTGTCTGTTTTGAAAACAAGCCTGTTACCCAAATGACAGTATTCCCTGCACTTTCTGGTAGTTTGACAATAAAATCCATAGCTATCTCCTTCCAGGGTGCTATGGGCTTGGCTAACTTCTGTAACAGTTCTGGCATTTTGCCTTGGTGTCTTTTGGCTGCCACACAAATTGGTCAGCTGGCTACATAGCTCTCTATGTCCTTTTCAGGTGAGGGCCACCAAAATTGCCTTTTAATTAGATGTAAAGTTTTTACAAAACCAAAGTACCCTGCTAGTTTGGAGTCATGGCACCTTTCCATTAAGTACAGTCTTTGGCTGGCTGGAACATACAACTTCCCTCCAACCCAAGCTAGGCTATCTTTCATCAGACAGCTGTCTTTGTGGCTCAAACCCCATTCGTCAGTGGTTAAAGCTTGTTTAAAAGTTTGGGTGGTATCATTGTCCTCCAGAGTGACTCGTTTTCCCTGGGCTCCGGTGGTTACTTTAGCAGC